ACCCCTCACAAGCCACGCCACAGGTAAGTACCGGCCCTACCGGGCCTGCCCAACATCCATGGCCCCGACGGGGTCACACACACACTCAAGCACTCAGTCAGGCACGCATTCATCACCCAGGCACGCCAACCACATACAGGCACGCACTCAGACCCAACACAACCCACTCAACAGGCAGGGGACTTAGTACGGCATGCATTCCACGAGCAAACTCAGAAATCAGCTGTCTGTTACAGTCCGTGTGATGACGGGTCATTACAGAAATCTTCTTCCTTCCGTCTACAACTGCCTGTTGAGCCCCTCCGAACTTCTCCTTTAAGTCTAAGGGCTTTTTGCTGAAGGACTCGAGAGCGTGATAGTCGATGGTCTGCCCCTGACTCTTTTGCTGGGCGCTCTTGCCGCGACCAGCTGCCATACCTCTTATGGCAACGAGGTTACCACCCTCTACGTTCTCCTCACTGTCTAACTCTGTGCCCTCCACAAGAGCGGAAACATCATTGATCTCAGTTTGATTCCCCTCGGAATCAACCATCGTCAATCCACTACGCTTTTTCTTCCACTCATTGTGAAATCTTCTTCCTTCCGTCTACAACTGCCTGCTGAGCCCCTCCCAACTTCTCCTTTAAGTCTAAGGGCTTTTTGCTGAAGGACTCGAGAGCGTGATAGTCGATGCTGGCCGCACTAACCATCAGATTCTTGATGTCTGTTGAAAAGCACCTCAAGAACATGGTCAGGAGGACCTGGGGATCATAGCGGACTCCCGGGACAACGATCAGTTTCTCTACGGTACTGGTAAGTTCACACAGAGTCTTGTACTTCTTAGTATCAAGGCGGGTCAACGCATTTGTGGCTTGCTGAGCTCGCTGAGGGTTGTGCCAACACTCCTCTACCAAGTCCAGAAAGCTTTCCAATGTTTGGGTCTTGAGCCCAATCATTCATTCTCCTGCCGTATCCCTTGCTGCTACGTACCCCGTCAACCATCTCGATGTCCTCAACCAAGTGTCGAGGGCCTTGTCCTTGTCTCCTGTGAAGACATCTGGCGGTTTCAGCAGGGTCTTCGGATACCAAGGTTGTTGTGGTCCAGCCTGTCCCTGTTGCTGCAGAGGTGGTTGGACCGGCTGCTGCCCTGCAGCTGCAGCAGCTGGACTGGAGGATGAAGAAGCAACAGTCTGTGCTGCTGCTGCTGACGTACCACCTGGTATAATATCTAATTGTGGAACAGAGGGGCTTGTCATCGCCGGTAGTGGAACTGACGATGGAAAAGCTACTTGCAGTCGGACATTGGGCCTGCCAGGTATGGAGGGAAGTGGTCCTCCCTTTCACTGCACGACAGTCAGTATCTGGTCAGGGGTTGACTGGATATCATCCAGTCTGCTGTCAAGGTACTCATTTAGACCCAACAGATTCGCCCAGATTATTTTTCCCGCATCATCTAGTGCGAGGCTTATGCCCTTATGAGCCCCTTTTTAGGCCCTGCCAAGTATCACGTCGGCCGCCCTAAGTGAAGGCAGGGACGACGAGGGCCTGAGGGCCCGTATTTCCGTCACCCACAACTCAAGGAAATTCAGGCAGTTGCACAGCGCCAGTTGGTTGGACGAATCCACGCTCTGGGCAGCCTGTGTGAATGTATTGAAGGCAGGCCCTGGGCTGGATACGAGATGTGGGCCTAACACAGGCTGTTGACAGTTGGGCGCGAGCAACCACTACAGGCCCAGGGCCTGAGTTGTGTGGACTGGGCCTCAGCCTACTGGGGCCTACCGGAAGCTTCTTGGGAAAGGCCCAGCACAGCCTGGGACAGCAAGCAGGCATGCCACTTCCATATAGCAAAGGGCCTGCCTCCGCATTAGGCATTCGGGTGCTGGCTGCATGCTGCGCCAGCGCTGCTGCGCTGAAGCTCGCTGCCACTCACGCGCTCACGGGCGAGCAGGAAGGAGCAGGCAGCCATAGCCGAGCTGCACTGCTGTAAGCTGGGTTTGGCGCAGGGTGGTCCTTGGGTGCAAGTGGCATCTGTGTGTTGGGGAACGAGGTTGTGAGCGAGGCGAGAGACATACCTGGTGCTGGAAGCGTGCGACATTGGTCGCTGTATGCTCGTACTTCGGGAAAGCTGTTGACGTCATCATTCGACATTGTAGTCTAGGCTAGATAGGATCTGCCATCTGTAGTCTGGGCGTCGAGTGCCAGACAGGATATGAACATTGGTTCTTAATTGATGATGATGATGAGACTTTACCAGCATTGTCAATTATGAGCTCTTGGTGTCTTTTTATTTGGTGAAACTCGTGATGCAATTCTGCTGTTGGTTCGAGGTCACGACTATCTGGTCTTGTGTATATGATGCTGTTTGATTGCTGAAGTTCGCTATTGCTCATCTTCCTTGCACTAGGTTTGGTTGACTGGATATCATCCAGCCTGCTGTCAAGGTAGTCATTTAGACCCAACAGATTCGCCCAGATTATCTTTCCCGCATCATCTAGGTTTGAATCATCTATCCCTTCTAATGCAGCTTTATCTGCCGCTCTTCTCTCGAATCTAGCTTTCTGCGTTCTAATCTTTTCCTGTCTGTCAGTAGCGTCTTTGAGATCCTTCTCTAACTTGCGGAGTAACTCTATGTGCTGGAGCTCTACCTACTCTTTAGTGGGTGGGGTTAGCAGGCTGTACTGCGAACCTGCCGTTTGACTGGAGGAGGGTCCTGCACTTGTCCCGCTGGTTGAGACAAAAGACATCTCGAAAGTTCCTGCTGTCTGCTGACCTTGAGAGGTCGCTGCAGAAGTAGCCATGGCTTCAGAACTATTTGCTGCTATTGCTAACGCACGTTCCGCAGCTGCTGCTGCCGCTAACGCATGTTCCGCAGCTGCTGCTGTCTCCCTAGCTGTCCGCAAACACTGGCCGGTTGCTTCAGCTCGGAAACTTCTCTCGTCCCCTGGTAACAGGACCTGGAACACGACGGGAATACGGCGAGTATCCTCGCTTGTACCTCCCCCACTACCTGTTCCGCTCATCATCTAGAAGAGATCAGATCACTGTCTGCTCTAGTGCCCTCGTTGGGCCCTACCACAACATGTGTCTGACTGATTGAAAAAGTCACCAGCACCGGTAACGGCGATATTGAACCAGCTCCGATACCAAATTGCAAGAAATACGAGAAAGAGCGGTAGACAGAAATCCAAATTGCAAAATCGCGCTGAAGTCCAGATATACCAAGCAGAGAGCACAATGGATCAAGATACCATCTAAATAAGTGCAATACAATGAACTCAAATGTCGATGCGGACGCTCCCTGGGCGCACCAACATGGTATCCAATGTCGCTCCTCCTGAGCGGCGCCCAGCCTACACTACTCAGCCTATCTATTGTATCTACACTCGTGCAACAGGAACACATCGAAGTTGAAGACCAATGTACTTGACATCAACGCCAGTGCAACAGGAACGCATCGAAGTTGAAGACCAATGTACTTGACGTCAACGCCAATGCAGATTGCGAGCATACACCAGGTTCTTGTCTCACATCTCTCCTCATCACCCCCTGTCTAGCCCACAGTGTGCTGCCCATCACCCCAAGATTACCATTGCCATTACCCGCACGTGCGCAGTGCAGCCTGGCTATGGCCGCCGTGCACCGGCTGCCATCGCAGCTCCGTCTCACCTCCAAGCGCCAGCATGCGCCCCGGCCTGCCAGCGCTAACGCGGCACTCAGGCGACAGTGCAATTGCGTGGCCGCAATGGCTTGGCAGTCCAGATTGTCTCTGGCCGGATTGCCCACTTTCCTTTATGGAAATGAGCCCTGCTTGGATGTGCCCTGGGCCTGCCTGGGCGAGTTTCCAGTAGTTTCCAGTACTGGCCTGGGCCCCATGCAGTTAGGAACGTCCAGGTAGCCCACGATGCTCCGAGTGTTCTGTGCGATCTCATTTGCTCGTGGCATGTATGTGACGCAGGAGCTGCTTTCTCATTGGTCCGCGGCCGCGGAGTGACTTGTTGGCCTCAGAATGCCTGTGCCCAGGGTAACCCATGTTCCAAGTGTCCGGTGCGATGTCATTGGCTCTTGGCATGTTTGTGACACAGGAGCTGCTTTCTCATTCGTCCGCTGCCTCTGAGTGACTTGTTGGCCTCAGGCGTGTGTCCATGGCCTCAACCGCATGAGCCCTGGGCTCAACCGTACGGCGCAGCTGTTGCTTCTGGAAGTAGCCAGGGAAGGCTTGTGTTGCTCCGTGACCAACTGGCGTGCTGCAAGTGTCTGTGACCCCATATACGAAAAATGGCAAAAGTAGGCCTCTCATGATTATGCAGGCCCGCCTTCACTTAGGGCAGGCACGAAGCTTGCTGTCGGCCAACACCCAGATCATGTGTGCCCGAGGAGGGCTTTGCGAGGGCTCAATCCTCGCACAGTTCACTTGCGAGAATAATGGAAATTGTGCAGGCAGCATCGCTCAGGGAGCTGCCGAACACCCGAGCAATGCGCAAGTCTTGACAGTATAGTGTGCATGGGATGGTTGTATCCTCCTCTCAGTAATCAATAGTGATAAGCATACTGTGCAGCCATTACCACAGCATGTAGAGATGGACATCTTTTGATGGATGGCGATGTGATGTAAAAACGGACAGAACGGGAGAAGAAGGCTGACGAGCACATCGGTATGTCCTGCTGTCTTTCGCTTTGCAGAGGAAACGAGGCCGGCCACCAAAATTGGGTCGCTCTGGAGCAGCACCGGTCCCTGTCAGATCTCCAAGTGTAGGCCCTGATGGCATGATTCAGAAGGTATGTACTGCTCAACTGCCTGCGGTGCATGTATTTCGGCAAATGTTCGATAAATGAATGATTTGTGGCATCTGTTGCGAAGTGGAAAAGCATTCTGTGCCATGCGGACTGTACATGATGCATGCATGTGACTGTATTTGGCAACGTTTCTCTGATGATTGAATGATTTGCTGAGTTCTGTCGCTAAGTGGAGAAGGTGGCTGATATGTTGGTCCTGGGGTGGGATGCGATGGTGTTTGTGACTTTGCAGCGGAAACGAGGTCGACCACCGAAGTCAGCCCGCACTGGGCCTGGGCCAAACACTGTCAGATCCACCAGTGTAGGCCCGGACGGTGTGATCCAGAAAAGAGGACGAGGGAGGCCGAGGAAGATCGTGAAAGAAGCTATGGACGGCAGTATGCAGGGGTAAGTGAGTAGGCCGTTGACTTTTGTTAAGGTGAAATCTGCTTTGGAGTTTTTCTTCTGTGGTTGCTGTCTCATACTGAAGAAAAGCGAAAAAAAAAGAAAAAAACATGTGATGCTATTCCACCTCCTATGTCGCTCGAAGCAGATGTAATGCCACAGCCTCTCCCCAACTACTGCTCAGGCAGCGGCCTGTTATAACCAGATTGGAATTGGTGGGCGAAGTTGGAGAGTCTAATCTATCAACAGATCCTTATGCCAGTATTGAGCTGGTCTGGGAATCTCAGCAAAGGTTTTGTCTATAGGTGCGAGGCCCGTGTAGGGTCAAAGTCATTGTCAACAGGTGTGTGAATTTCATCACTGGAACAGTTGTAGATTGTGATAAGAGCCGTAGACGATGTTTTATCTCAAGCAGTGAAGATCTCTCAACTGAAGTGAGGTGGAGAATGAGGCATCAGGACATGCAGTCATGTATTTGTTGGTTGGTTTCTCTGTGAGTTGTTTAGCGCTGATTTTTCGTCAAGGACTTTGTGGCTACTTGAGAGTACTTGCTTGTGCTACTTCTCAGGTGCTTCCTCGTTGCTCTGTCCATTTCTTTTTTGTGTGTGTGGGGCAGAGAGAGGRGGGGGGGGGGGGGAGTGTCTATCGTTTCTTGAACACGAGTGCTCGTGTTATTTTCTCTGGACCTCTGGGGAAAGAGTGTCTATCGTTTCTTGAACACGAGTGCTTGTGTTATTTTGTCTGGACCTGTGGGTGAGATGAGGAGTTGTGTTGTGCATGTGATATTGCTTCGCAGGCTGCAAGATTTATATCAACAGCAGAGCTTGTGACCATCACTGCTTTGGGATGATGATGACGACTTAGGCCAATACAACACTACTGTCTTCACCCGAATGGTGTCCAGCCATCATAGCTGTATATTTGGGTCAACAACTTTTCGCCTGTATACAGTGATAATGGCTAGGTGTTCTATTCAGGTGAAGACGGTAGGACTTTAGTTAAGAAAGTGTGAGTGTTTCCTAAGAGGTGGTCTCTATCCAGTTCTTGCAAGTGCTTAGTTCGCTGATAAAGTTGGTGCAGAACACCCTTAGGCGTTGTCTTTCTCTGTGCCTGTTCGATCAGTGATGTCAGTCGTAGGGCTAATGTCTCCTTTTAGTATGTGGCTTCCCTTTTCCAGCTCAAATGACAAGCATACAGGAATAGTGCTGATGATAAAATCTCTGCTTTCATCCCATACATCTACCTTTCCTCCCGTATAACGAACTACATTCTTGTGATGCTCTGTTTTAAGCTAAGAAAAACACAAAATGGGAGAAAGCGCAACCGTTTAGAGAACTGAAAAAGAAGACTTAGAAGAGAAAGAGAGCTTGTGGTGTATTCAGACTCTCTAATGGAGTTAGAGAATCCGGAAACTGTGGGCAATATTTGCTCCAGGGAATGGCCCTTGCTCCCGCTTTACTACTTGCCAATTGTGAGCATTAGCAAGAGTGTATCCTACCATTAGAACTGGAATGATGTACACTTCTCTTCTCACATTTGGCGAGCAATAGAGTGGAGTGGAGTGAGGCTCAAAGGCATTTCAGGACTATAAATTGGTCCTTACAAATGGGGACAGACAGTCAACTGTACAAACAATTGCTGGAATGAAATGTTACACAACTTTAAAGCACCAGTACCTTCCAGGCTCTTTTCCCAGGTTGGTATCTTTGCCCACCCCGCACATTCTGAGACTGCTGGGGAGACTAGGCCTACCTGGTGCCATCAGCCATTTTGGTCCCGTAGGCCGAGCCTTTCCACAGCGTTGGTCAACCGCTGGGTCAGCATGAGATAGCCGGGATGGGTATTGGTTGTTTAAATTAGTCATACCATCCCCACACTAAAAAAATCGCTAACGTGACAAAGCTGAAATCCGGGCCGTCGTCGGTCCTACCGGCCCACGGCCCAGATGGACCGAACCATGTAACCCGAACCATGTAACAAATCTGCCATCTGGGCCGTCGGGTCCTACCAGACCAACGGCCTGGATAGATGCGGTCTTAAGATCTTAGTACCGCGCCGAGATCCAGGCCGTCGGTCCGGACCGACGGCTCAGATAGACGCGAGGAGTGCCGTGGGATACTACCGGACTTCACGACGTCGGGCCAACTCAACTTTCCCGTTGCACTGGCCATTGTCGTACAGCGCCCTCGGTCCATTGTATTCGGTGTTGTCGTGCTTCTGCTATTGTCGTGAAGCGCGCCGTGCCCCCGGCTGTGAAGCGCCCTGTCATGAAGCTCTCTCTCTCTCTCTCTCTCTCTCTCTCTCTCTCTCTCTCTCTCTCTCTCTCTCTCTCTCTCTCTCTCTCTCTCTCTCTCTCTCTCTCT